CGACGAAAGCTGCTGTTGCACTTGCTCTTCATGATCCTTCCGCTGCTGCTGCTTCCACTACACTACTACGACGGCGACGCCGCCAGTCATGTCGCTTAAACAGTCATTAATATAGGTGCTAGCGAAGAGGAAGTAGTAGTAGCAGTAGTAATCGTAGCAGCAGCAACAGCAGCAGCAGCAGCGGCGGCAGCAGCGGCAACAGGAGTAGCAGTAGTAGTAGTAGTAGTCGTCGTCGTCGTCGTCGTTTCAGTTCCAGTTGTTGTAGCAGCAGTGGTGGCAGTAGCAGCAGTTGTAGGAGTCGTGTACCAGAAGCAGTAGCAGTCGCGGTAGAAGTCGTTGTGGTGGTGGTGCTGGTGGCGGTACTGGCGGTGGCCGTGCTGGTGTGAGTGCTGGTGCTGGTGCTGGTGCTGGTGCTGGTTGCACGATGGCCGCACTAGGACGAGTGCCTGTGCTGAGGAATCTTCCTCTGGTTGGAACGGTCAGCATCAAATGTATCAACCGGAGCAACTCTGACATACGCCCTCCTCCACCCATATCCGATTGCAGACGGTGTCGAATGTCAGTTGTCCCTCTTAGGTAGCATGCATGTTATGAATAACCGATGTGAAAGTCAAAAAGACTAATGCAACGGCGATGCCACTGAGGGTATGTGTGCTGTTAAGACCCAGGATGCAAAGCACTGGCTTTTTTCGGCTTGTCCGCCGTTCGGATTGGTGCCGGTCTGGTACGGAGGGTACCTGCAACCGTGCTGCGCCAACTCGTGATGGCAGTGGACTCGAACATGCAACGTTTGCATGGCCGGCAGCACCGATGCGCGGGCGATGGGTGCCGAACTTGGCAACATCGCACCGCTATCTACAAAGATTTCAAAAAAGCAAACAGCAGCAACTAGGGACATGTTGAAACATGTTCACATTTTTAAAGCAGAGTTGTAGCCCTGCACCGTGCACTGTGTCTACGCCACCGGTGCAGACTGTACAAGGGCAGGAAGCACAAAAGCAGAAGGAGAATCGCTATTCCCGCTTATGTTGTCTTCCTGGCGAGCACAATTTAATGGAAGGTGCAAGTATGCGTCACTGACCATCAAAAGTATTGCGACTGATACGGCCTGTTCAGGCTTCAGTACTGGGTGGGTATAGTAAAGTATAGTATAGCAACAGGAATCGAGCCAACCCAAAACTCAGCAGGCGCGCTTCTAGGGGTGGAGCCACGACAACAGCTGAAGTGTAGGTGGACCCTTGCGTGAGGACAACCTCGATCACCCCCCACAGCTCCTCCAGAAGCACACCCCGAAGCAACCCCACCTCGGTCTTTGGAGTAAACATATGCCAACCGCGGAATCCTAAAACCTGTGGAGAACGCAGGAGGCCTCATTCCAACCATCTCAGAAACTAGACCTGAACCCACAAAATGCCATGTGAAACCCGCGAGATCAGCAAACCCCAACTCTGGGGGTCTGAGCTACAGAGGAGGGTTTTCTGCTCAGAAGTGGATGGGCATGGAGAAGGCTTCGAGCTTAGGGAGTTGGGGGAGTTGGGGGCCCCAGAGCAGAGCTCGCAAAACCCCCCAACGGAACCACGGATTTTGTAGACTCGGATCGCCCACACCCTGTGCTTCATGCAAACCAGGCTTCGGGATGCTTCGAAGAGGCTTGAGTCTCTCCACTTTGCACTCCACTGCCCACATCTGTGCGAATTTCTGCAAGGATTTCAGGCTGCGCACCCCTGAAAACGAAGCGAAGAGCTGCGTGCAACAGACTACAACCATCGTTAGACCAGGGACGTGATGCTTTGTCATGTGCTTGCGGTCAGAAGTACTCAGGCTACAAGCCTACCACCTTGGGAAAATGGGATCCCAAAGGTACTCTTGTACAAGAAGATCTGGCAGGCACAAGGTGCTTTTTCCAAGGTTCTTAAGATGCGGCTGTGGCCGTTTGTTGCGCATTGTACCTGACGGACCTACCCACCTACCCATTTGCCTGCACATGACACAGGGGTTTCGTCTCTGGCATCGTCGGTAGGAGCCGCAGACGTCACTGACCAAGTCTCAGCAGTACAAAACAACAAGTGCTCTCCACGACCCTACTAAACTAAACCCCTAAACCCTAAAAAAACACACTTTGAATTAGAGTAAGAGTTGGGGGTACAGACTTGTCTTCCTCGGGCCGTTCCAACATCGTCTACGATCTAGCTTTCTTGGACAACAGGTGGTACACAACCTGTCAAAACCCAGGCAGGAGCATTTGCGCCATAATGTTTATCTTTCGTCGATGGATGGAAGTGGGCAGGATATCACAAAACATTGGTTCTCTGGATCAACCGCCGAATAGCTGGGACGACACTTTAGCAAACAACGGCTTATGATTCCGCACATCACCAGATTAAGCAGATCTGGTCATGGGGCTAAAGCAAGCACCGACGCTCATGCTCCTGCATATCGGTTTCGTCCTCTTTCGGGAAAAATTGCACCGACTATTGTTCGTAGGACGCCTGTTCACTCGCCCGATGGCTTGTTCAGCTGCATCAAGATGTCAAGAATGTACATGAAAAGGTTGATGATGTCCATGTACAGCCTTGGATCCGCAAAGCCACAGAACTGAAAGCTTCACAATGCACCGGATTAAGATGATGATGAACGGAGGAAGACGAATCCATAACTGCACAGAAATCACGATGACGACAACGATTCCTCTCGCCCAAAAATCAAGCACGCTCTGTCTAGAGTCTATATTGTGCCGGAGATGGTAACTTTCCCTCAAGATTGCTACACGGCTTCACCATGTTTCGACGAAGGGTATCCTCAATGTCACTGCAACGAGCGCGCTGGAAGCCTGACTCCTGCGTCCTACAGTGCAAGTACAGCGGGAAAGCAAGGAAATGCCTTACACACTCGGGTTCCAGAGCAAGTTCCTGAAACAGCGCAAAATCCTGCACTATAAACCTCAACTCCGAAACGCCAAAGCCCTGCCCTCAGCCGGACCCGTGCATCAGAACAGCACGGTCCAAAAGCCGCAGTGAACTTCAGCCTAAACTGGTCCAAGTGCAGCTACAGCCATCTCATTTAGTCACCCGGCCACTCGAGCCCCAAAGAACGTTTACAGACTTGGGGCTTCTGATTTTCGCCTTCAGACTTTGCAAACTCGTGGGTTTCGAATCCCCCAAGGTGTCAAATAAGAAGCTCCAAGCTCCTCAAGCCCAAAGGTTCTGAAGCCTGGCCTGTGCTGGATCTCGCTCCGAAAAGCCACCAAAATAATCCTAAGCCCTTAGACCTCAAGCGGAAACTGCCTCAGCCCGCCATCGAAGAAATGAAATGTCCGAGCATCTGGATGGCACCCTCCACATAGTCATCCACCTGGCGCTTACATATATACATGTATATATTAATATAACTATAAATATCAAGAAAGATATAGACACCTATAATATATACATATATATATATGTACAATGTACATATATATATATATATATATATATCGGGGCCATATGAAGTAGAACATGTGTGTTCTCGGGGGAGAGGGTTGATGCTAAACTTGTACTCGGGAAACCTAACGAACAGCACTATAAGCATGATTAGGCCCCCATATTCAACCGTCGACCCTTTAGCTGAAACACAATCACCCGAAGACCTTAATATCTTCAACCCCAGGTCCTAGTTCATGGTAAAGTGAGCCAACTAACGAGGCCTGAACCCGGAGAGCCCAACCCGAGCTCCTAAGGAAGGAAGCCCAATGCCCTGAAATCACTGTAGGTCTTTTTGGTTGGTTCCGCCACTCTGCGCATCACCGTTCTTAAACAGGGGGAAGCGCTTACCACCCGAAATTTTGACCATGGAAACGTGAAAATGGCACGTGCAAGAGCTCTAAGGGTGGATCCTCTGTTTTACCTTGTTTTGGTCAGCGTGATCTACAGCATCAAAAGGTTAAGCTAACAGGAGCCACATTCGAGGGTATAGGTTGACTTCCCAATCTTCGGAGCTCCACGGTCACAGCGATGTCCACTCCGGTGAACAAGCTTACAAGCAGATGGGGACATGGACTACCGCCGTCGTGCCCGTCTTCCTCCTCCGCTGCCCCACCTCTGAATCCCCATGACCGTTCTTCCACTCCTTCTCGGACTCATCACAAGCAACATCATCGTCGTCATCATCAGCATCACCACCGTCATTGCCTGTGCCGCCACCCTGCATTTCATGACCATGGTCATGTTCCTGAAGATGATGGTCATCATCGTCGTCATCACCACCACCACCACAGCAGCCGTCTCTGTAAATCTCACCATCGTCACCACCATCAACATCACCATCATGATCGCCAACACAATTGGCATTGTCATCATCATCATCGTCATGTTCAGCATCATCAACCACATCATCACCCTCATCATGACCATCTTCACAATCACGAGCATCAACGATGCAACGATATTACAACAACAGCAACAACGGCAACAGCAGCAGCAGCAACAACAACAAAAACAAGGGCCGTTATCATCACCGTCATCACCGTCATCAGCGTCATCATGACCGTCAGCAGCAGCATCTTCAAACAGTTGTTGCCATCATCCTTAGCATGACCAGCATCATCACCATTATCGTTTTCGGCGATACCTGATGCTTCGCTCAATCATCCGCAGCAGCCAAACCTTCATGAACAAACATGGCCCCACGTCCTCATCATCACCCTGAGGTCATCTTCGTCATAACTCCCTGGTCGCTAACATCACCAGCAACAGAATCACCACCGTGACCATCGCCTTCACGACCCTCTCCGCCGCCGCAACCGCCAGAAACATCATCATC